GGGCCGAGTTAATTTTTTTCAAGTCTCATCCCTTTTTTTTTTTTTTTTTTTTTTGTGGAAGACTACACGCACACGTGTGCACAATCAGGTGGAGACGAGTGGCTTGGCTTACTGCTGCCGCTACGTGCACATGTGCTACGCTACATGCATGGCCGTAAACACAAGCACATGTCTGCGTGCGTGATGAGTTATTTTTCTCACACACACACACACACACACACACACACACACACACATACACACACACACACACACACACACTTTCTCTCTCTGTCTCTTACTCTCCTCTCTATTTTACAGTGTTGTTATTCGAATGCATGTGTGTGCGCGCGTGCGCGTGCTAGCATGTGTGTGTGTGTGCTGGTGCGGACTGTGAAACTGATGAATGACCAAGCATGGCAGATTCATAGTCCGGATCCTGGTGCAGCTGGAGAGGAAACTAATGGCAAGCTGGGACTGAGGAGGTCTCAGAGCTAATACCTGTCTCTTCCATCAGGAGACCTAGGGGCATTTTTTTACACCCAGCCAAATAAGAGTCCCCCCCCCCCCCACACACACACACACATCACCAGCACTCCTACTTTTAACACCTTCCAACTCTTCCGCACTCAAAGCCACCCCTCCCCTCCAAGATAAATGCACAAATATACACATGTACGCATGCATGCACACACAAGCACTCAAGCCGGCAAACATGCAGCAACATAAAAATGGACAAACACCCCGCCCCCGCTGAGCCCCCCGCAAAAAACTTGCTTTAATAGTAAAGCGGCGGGCATCAGCTGTCACAGAGTAAATGTGCGTCCAAAAGACAAGGATGGGCACTTTACTGGACATTGCCTTTTACTCCCCTGCTGATCAGACGGCAAAGTCCCCCGCATTTGTACAGGGTGAGGTGAGTCACTCATGCAGATTTAATTTGGACCGTAGAAAATGTTGCGCTTTGTACCCATTTGCCCCCAGCAAGCAGGTTTAATACGGAAACCCCAATTTCAGAGGCAAGGCTTTAAGTGAGATTTGGAACTTTCTTCGCCGGCATACAGTGCCAGCCATTTGCAGACCCGACCACGTGTAAAAAAATTAAAATAATCCCCCACCCAATCTTGTTATCGCTCAAGTACAACACTGTTGAGACTTTGGAGTACAGCTATTCATTTTCCACATTTAAAATTTCAAATGCTGGCTACTGGACCTGTGGCTTGAAAGCAAAGCATGGAGAGTCTCTGTCACCCACATGCAAGGGACGCACTCACTGAGTTTGGCAATCGGTCATTGCCATCAGCCCGATCAAAATATCCATCCTTTCGCCTTTATGGCTAGCCGCTTCTTCATTGACAATCGCACTATGTTTTGTGGCTCAATCATGAGCGCAGTATATTTTATGTGTGGGATCGAAGCCTGATATGTTTTTTTTTTCCATTGCAGCATGTCTCAGCTCCTCAGTTAGCCGCCGGAATACTCTTTACTCTTTTCAGAGGAGAAAGAATATCTTAATATACAACAATACGCTGTACATAAAGCACCACTGTACACTTACGACCATAAATAGACGAAGATAGGCCCTTTACCGGACATTGCCTTTTGCTCCCTGCTAATCAAATTCCAAAGCCCGCCCCTCCATTTAGACAGAGTGAGGTGGGAGTGGTAAAAGGGTTGTGGGGAGGGTGGGGCTCACTCATGCAGCTTTAATTGTGCCTGTGGAAAATGTTGCGGTTTGTACCCATTTCCCCCAGCAACCAGGTTTAATATTGAACCCCGGTCCCGATACATATATTAATGTTTGCAGTCATGCGCCTCCTGATGTTATCCTCATTAGCGCTCTATCGCATTGCCATCCACAGAGCCGGGCTGCGAAATAGAATCAGAGCGCAGAGTGGAAGTCATTAGTCAGTTTTGAGTGTGCATATGTTCAATTGACCCACAGTATGTAAATTCTTGCGATGCTGGCCTTGCATATGGGCCAAGTGCCTCACTGGAGGCCCGTCCAGCATGGTGCCTCATTACAGAGCGCCTTCCCAGAGTCCTCGCTGTTAATTAGGGAGCCTTTTGTCCGTCACGTGACTCCTCCGCTCTGACACTCGGAGGTCACGCTAAGGACTTATGGATCCTCCCCGGCCCGCCTGCCGCGTCCGTCGGTCCAGGCCGCAAGTATGTTTGCGTTCACATTTTTCATTTTCTTCACTTTCTTCGATCGAGCGTCCGACTCATTCATCAACGCTTGGCGGACAAAGCCGTGAGGGCAGTGGAAATTCCAGAAGTGGAACACATTCCATTTTGGGACGCAGGTCGACTTACGATTAGGTTTGAATCCAAGATCTTTTACTTTTCTCATTTTCAATTGTGATTACTCATAATTGGCAGGATGAAATTTCAAAGATCGCTTAACCGGATGACAAATGTAATGGATCCATAATGTATATTTTTTCTTTGTCCTATCCACTAAAGGCAGAATATTTGACCGTTTTGTCCCTTAGTATTTGTGTAACTTTACAAGCGAGAGAAAAATGTACACAATTCTTCGCAGATTTTAAAAGCACTAATATTGGCCGATTAAATCAGACAGACGATTAATTGTTCAGGCCCTGATTGTTAGCCCAATAGCATAAGTCTGGTGTTGGATTTTACATATTCATGGATGGGAAAGGGAATGCGATGACTGGTGAGGAAGGGACGAGATAAGTAGCAAACAGGAGGATAGGATAGAATAGGACAGTGAGCCAGCATTGAAGTTTAGCTATATGTGTACTTGCAAAGAAATACTTAACCCTATAAGGGAGGGACGTGGCAAATAGAAGGCAGTACAGGACAGGACAATGAAGAGTAATGCTACACCCAATGAGGAAGGGATGTGATGGCTAGGAAATAGTACAGGACAGGAAAGGACAGGACAGGATTACTGTGCCATGTCTTGGATTGTATCTATATGTGGACTGGGAAGGCAGTGGTGCACTCTCAGGAAGTATGACAGGATGGCACAGGACAAGACAGGACACGGGGAATTATGTGATCTACTGTACATGCGCACTAAAAAGGCAGTTCTTCACCCTGCGAGGAACGGTCGGGATGAGTATAAAGGAGGGCACAGGGCGGGACAGGACAAGGGTGTTCAAATTTGAAGGTATTGCGCTGAAGTCAACGTTGTGGTTCATTCCATCTCTATTTCTGCACACTGCTATTGTTTTCTCACCACCCCCCCCCTTCCCACCATCAAGTATTTTTCTTTTTTACCTTTTCACCTGCTTGTCAGACTTGTGAGGCCCTCGGTGAAATGATCTCCAGGGCAACAACAACAAAGCACTGTCAAGATCCCCGCGCAGCATCCTGCGGCTTAATTGTTATTAATTTACTGCAATTAAAAATGTGTCTCTCTCTCTCTCCCTCCCTGTCTTTTTTCTTCATGCCTTGACAAGCATGGATATTGTTTACACGCCAAGAGAAAGTGTTGAGGAACATTTCCAAGGAATGTCACCGTCTATGCATCGCTCCGAGCAATTCCGGCACGAATCGCGATAAAGCCCATATTTGAATAGGAGCGGATATCAAACACATTCATTAGCTTACATGCTTCACTTGATTAATTATATCTGAAGAAAATTGCGGCCACTTCGGATCTTAGTCTGCTAGTATCGCCATGTGCCACGGATCCCTAATTTCCAAAAGAAAGGGGAGAAGGCGGGTGGGGTGCTGGAGGGAGGTG